CATCATTCTCAGCAAACTAACACAGGAACAGAAAACCAAACACCATATGTTCTCACTCATAAGTGGGAGTTGAACAATGTGAACACATGGACACAGGGAGGGGAACATCACACATCAGGGCCTGTCAGGGAGTGGGGATTAGGGGAAGGATAGTATTAGGATAAATGCCTAATATAGATGATGGGTTGATGAGTGCAGCAAACCAGCATGGTATGTGTATACCTATGTAACAAACCTGCATGTTCTGCACATATACCCCAGAACTCAAAGTATAATTAAAAAAAAAATAGAAAATGGTTGCTACTGGGAGAGGGAAAATGAAAGTGGAAAACAGCACAGGATCACCGTTTATTATAAACACTGTAGAACGCTTTCCCTTTTTAAAGAATGACATGTATAACTTAGAAAAAAGTGAAAATTACCAATCCACTAGAATAATTACTAGCCACTCAAGTCACCTGGTAATTAGCAGACCACCTGACCTCCCAAATCAGTAAAAAACTGCCATTCCTTCAACATTCCAAAATACATTTTCATTTTAGAAAGATGGAAACTACAGAAGATATGAAGAAATAACACAGAGCAACACCACTCAAAGATAATCATGTTAAATATTTTGGTATAACTGGATACTTTTTTCTAGGCATTTTTTCAACAACTGACTTCATATCTGGCATGTAAATTGGTATCCTGAATTCATTTCTAAAAAAACTGAAACTAAATAAGAGGAAAAGATCATTTGCTGGAAAAAGAAACCCAACCTCTCCCAACTCATAACACAGCAATTCAGTATGCATATTCTATTGAAAAGAAGTCAATAACAACATTTTTCACAAAAAAGCAGAAAAATATATGTAATCTCTTTTAACAAGCAACAGCTTATAGCATATTGATTAAGAGTCCAGGTGCTAGAATAGTCTACATGGGCTCAAATCCAAACTCAACTGTTTTATTGGTTGTGTGATGGACACTATTGTAACATCCACAAGCCTCAGTTTCTCTAAATGTAAAATAAAAATAATAGTACCTACCTCCTAATGTTTCTGTGAGGAGTGCCTGTCCAACATTTAGCAAAAAACCCAGCATGTAGTAAATGCCCAGTAAACATTAACTATTAGCATTGTAAGTATTATGATTCATAACCATCTAATAAGTGAGACACAACAAAAATATGTAAGACCAGCAGAATAAACAAAGGGATTTAACAAAGCCAAGCATAAAGGGTCACCAGCGTGAGAGGAGGACAGGACAAAAGCCTCTCCTCTCTGGTATTTGACACTAAAATTTATTTGTCAAATAAGCGAATCATGGATGCACTTTAAATTCCAAGCTGAGGAGTTTCCGAGCAACTTTAGTGACCTGATCCAATAAGATAGGGTTGCATAGGGAGGGAGCGAGTTATTCAGGGTGATTCAGTAATGGAAACTGTCAAAATGTCACTGCAGCAGGTCACACTCTAGAGAATAGGTCTTGCACAATAGGATACTCCTAAAAATGTGAATTAATTAGGTTTTGAGATACAGTTGACCCTTAAACAGCACAAGTTTAACTATACAAGTCCACTTATATTCACAAATTCAATCAAAAACACAGTATTTGCAGGATGTAAAACCTGCATATAGGGAGGGCCAACATTTCCTGTGCAAGGGTTCTGCAAGGCCAACTGTGGGACTTGAGTATGCATGAATTCGTGTCCTGGGACCAAGCTCCACCAAGGGACAACTCTACTGTGTCCTGAGTACCTGGCAGAAGGACAGTAAGAGTCAGAACGTTTTGAAAAGAAAGCTTAATGGCCAAAGAAGTGCTCACATATAACATAGGCCTGTAGCAATTGAGAGTCCTTCTGGGCATTCCAGTTTCAGTGAAGAAATTATCTTGGTATGGGGTGAGAGGAGACAGGAAGATTATCCATTCTTGTCGAGGAGCAAATATTCTGAAAAATAAGAGATTTGTCCAGGACTTATGTCACTTGATCTTCCTGTGAAATATAAACAGGTTAAGAAATAAAACAACAAACGTCGGGCCAAATGCCCTTTCTTTTTTAGTCTTTATCCTAGAGAGATATTATCAACTGAAAGGCAAGGGTGGGGAAAGTGTTGAAGGAGTCACAGGTAACTGAGAGAGCTCTAACCTAAAAATAATGATCCGATTTTAGTTCTGCTACCAATTAGCTGAACAATCACACTTCATCACTGCCTTGGTTTCCTGGTGTGTAAATTGGGGATGTAACATGTGCTCTACCTACCTAAAAAAGTATCACAAAAGAGAAAATGGGATAATTCTTCCATCAGCCCAAGTCCAGTCAGGTGACAGATACTACATCCGTTTTATTTTTGTTATTTTTTAGTAGAGAGAATAGTTGACTAGGAATAACAAATTATTAATTAGGTAAATAAAAAGGCCAAAAAGACAACATTGAAGTAGCATGGAGAAAGCTGGGCATAGAGGTGCATACTTATGGTGCCGGCTACTTGGGAGGCTGAGATGGGAGGATCACTTGAACCCAGTTTGAAGCTGCAGTGAGCTGTGATCGCAGCACTGTACTCCAGCCTGGGCAAAAGAGTAAGACCCCATCACAACAACAGAAAGTACCACAGAGGAATCAACTAGTGGCAGAAACTTGGTATGATTTGGCTGTGTCCCCACCCAAATCTCATCTTCAATTGTAGTGTCCATAACAATTATAATCCCCATGTGTCATGGGAGGGACCCAGTGGGAGGTAACTGAATCATGAGAGTGGTTTCCCCCATGCTATTCTCATGACAGTAAGTTCTCACGAGATCTTATAGTTTTATAAGCGGTTTCCTGCTTTGCTCAGTTCTCATTCTTCTCCCTGCCACCATGTGAAGAAGGATGTGTTTGCTTCCCCTTCTGCCATGATTGTAAGTTTTCTGAGGCCTCCCCAGCCATACTGAACTGCGAGTCAGTTAAACCTCTTTCCTTTATAAATTACCAAGTCTTGGGTATATCCTTATAGCAGCATGAGAATGGACTAATATACTGCTACACCAAGGCTAAAGGAAAAAAGGGAAGTGGCTGGAATGATCAGAACTTTGAGGCTTAAAGGGGGCACACCCAGAGAACTGACCCCTTGGCCCTCTGAGGAGGAGGTACTATTGAGCTGGTACTAGTGTCTCTAAGTTTGGGGGCAGTGCAGACCTCTGAGGTGTGAACCACAGTCAGTCGATGCTGGCATCTCTGAGATAAGGGCACAAGAAAGCTGCTTCTGCAAATTTCAGGACAACCGTGAACTAGATTCGCCTACTGCTACTGCCAAAATCATCCGCTGCCAGGGTTAAAAGGGAGGCTAAGGTGAGGCTGACAGAATAGGAAGCAGGATGGAAGAGGTAAGTCTCTTCAAAAAGACTCACTTGAGGGGAATGGCAAGAGCTCTTTAAATAGAATCAGTTATTCACTCCCTCCCCTTTGTGTCTTTGTTCTGCCGAAATATGCATACTCAACAGAATGACTAAAATGAAAAAGAAGATCATACTAAGTACTGTTGAAGATGGAGAACCAGAACTCTTGCAGGCAGCTAATGAGAATAAACACTGAATAACCCTTTGTGAAGAAGACAGTTTGTTAACATCTACTAAAGCCTAACATACACTTGATCCTATCACCCAAAGTGCACTCCTGCACGCATACATCCCGTATGATCCCATTTATGAAGTATTCAGTAAGAAATGAAGATGATCAATGTTCTTAGCAGTCAGGAAGGTGGTTACTCTTGGGGCTGGAGAGTGAGACGGCAGCAAGAGGGAGACTTCTGGCATGCTCTGCTTCTTCATCTGGGTGCTGTTTCCATGGATGTAACAAATTCATAAAAACGCATCAGGTTGTACACTTTTATATATGTATACTTTGATGTAAGCATGTACTATTTTAATAAAAGTTAAACCTAATGCCATTCCCCCTCTGAGCATATTCCCAAAAGCAAAGAAAGTAGGAACTCAAAGAGACATTCGCACACTCATGTTCATGGCTATATTATTCACGAAAGCCAAAAGACGGAAGCAACTCAAGTGTACTCAGTGGATGGATGAACAGTTTTTATATATAATATTCAGCCTAAAAAAGGAAGGAAATTCAAACACATGCTACAACTTGGATGAACCTTGAAGATATAATGTTAAGTAAAATAAACCAGTCTCACAAAAGGACAAATACTACATGATTCCATGAGGTGCTTCAAGTAATCAAACTCATAGAGACACAGAGTAGAATAATGGTTGCCAGGGAACAAGGAGGGAGGAATGGGAAGTTACTGTTAGACAGATATAGTTTCAGTTTCACGTGAGTTCTGTGGATAGATGATGGTGATAGCAGCACAACAAGGTGAATGTATTTAATATACACTTAAAAATGAGTAAATTTTATGTTATCTGTAATACAAATTAAAATTTTAATTTTTAATTTTAAAAATTGCGATTCTAATATATACCCTCCAAGTAAACGCATCCTAATGAAGTTATTAACTTACCTCTGAAAAACATTCCAGCACGTTCACCCCTCTTCTCTTTTTGGGCTACTGTTAACTCTACCTTTTTAATCTTGTGTACAAGAAGTGAAAAAAACAAGAGTGTTTTTTCAAATTCAAAAAACAAATTCAATTTACTCTCCCAAGCAGCAAGGTGGGATGCAGAAGACCAATTTACACTCACACTGAACCTTACGTGAAACAAACTGCTCTAACATCCTCCTTCCCATATACACTCATAACCCCCTGTAAGAAAGCCAGGTGAGAGAGATCTGTTACCCTCACCTCACAGCTAAAGAAACTGACTGAAAAAAAAAATAATCACAGCCAAAGGAAGGAACAAGTTTTCTTATACCAAATTCAAGCTGTAAGACATCCTTATGATGTCTTATGTAAGTTCATTAGTAGACTTAAAAAGCAAATTCAATTTACAAATTAGTTTTTTGCTTCTATTGCTCCCATAAAAAAATGTGTAATGTTACACAGATCTTTTTTATATTTTGAAAAACAATTTCACTGTTTGACTTGAAAACAGTTTATTTAATTTATACAAATAACTACTAAATACAAAAAGTAGATTAAAACAAAATAGTTATTTTTTTTCTGGCAGAGTTTAAATGCACATAATGGATAATTCTGAAGAAAATGCATTTTCCCCGTAGCGTTCAGGACTAAAATTCTACTGAAATCTTTGCTTCTAAATCAGTAATATATTCGGTGGTGTCACGTGGGTAATGGCTAAATACGTTCTGCATATGAACTGAAAAAAAGTTACAGTCTACACACATACAAATGTGAAGCACTTAAAATGTGAATTTAACTGATAATAAAAGAAAATGTCCATTTTAGAGTATAGTGTTTAAAACATTTCGGTAACAAAATCATAAGACCACATAAAAATAAGCTTTAACATATGCACGAAGCAGTTTTGTAAAAACTACTAAGTGCACAAGTAATAAATAATTTGCAAAGTTGTGTATAAACAATTCCTAATGTTCGGCATCATTGTAAACATCAGCACATGTGTAAAATGCAGCAAAGTCTGACATTACATTTTGTTTTGCCAAATTGAATTCCTATTATCCAAAGACAGACCAGTGGAGTATGCAGCCAACGTTTTGGCAAGTTGGGTCTTTAAAATTAAGAGTAACAGTGCAAGTAAGGAATGCAAAGAATTCCTAGTGCAATAAAGAAGAGAAGCACAGGCAATATTGCTGATTAAAAATTCACCACCTCCTTGAGTTTCCCGTGGGGAGTATCTAGGAGACTTGTGAAAGCTATGCAAAGCCACCATCTTAATGCCCAGATCTCTTTTAGGATTTCTCTGTGTTCCTCCAGTCCCTACCTTTGCAACAGTGTCTGTCCAACATTAGTCTCTGCAGTGTGAACAGTTCGTGAAATGCCCAGTTCACAGTCATCGAGAGAGGTTAGGGTGGTTTTGATGTCTCCCCAACATATGGCTGGGTATGATGTCTGCCTTGTGAAAGCAGCCTTTTGGGGAGGGAGACAGATGGATTCTGTTCTGACAACCAGTCAGGCCAGCATTAGGTCCCAGCTGGACAATGACAACAACGTCAAATCTTCCTTCTTGACACTATGAAAATGTCAACAGTCAGTTTTCAATTTGTCGAGGGAATTATCAATTTTGGTCAGAGTCTTTTTGATACGCAGTGCTGTGAGTCTTGCGGATGGATTCTGATACCAGCATTCTTTCATTAGCTTGGCCAGAGAGGTTAATGTCTGAGAAGAGAAAGAACAAACACCACAATAACAAACTGGCTTTTTAGTGGCCCTGGAAGCTGGACTGATAATCATGTCAACTCTTTTTAAGAACTCAGAGGTCTTGTGAAATGAGAATTATGTTACTGTCATCTTCTTTAAACAAATATTCAAGCTTTAACCACTGATAAAGAAGCTACTCTTGGAGTTTCAGAAACTCTGTCCTTTGGACTCTTAATGCTACCAATTTACTTTATCAGGTGAACAACATAGGCCAGATTGGACCCCTTAATGATTTTATGGGTGCTAAGAGAAGTAGTAGGTTAGTATTAGAGATAATCCTGATATTTCCGAATAGGACAGTATCTCATTGTTTTATATCTGCTACTACTTACGAGCAGCAATACAGGATCTTCAGCAGTCAGCAGCTTGCGTTTGGGATTTCAGATATGCAGAGATGGAAGGAAGGTGAACAGCTTCACTTAAAGCCTCTTGGTTTACACAAGAAACTTCAGTCTTAGGGCTAGTAGCAATAGTCATGAGTCTCCTGATGTCTGGAGCTGCTCTTTCACAGAAATTCTTACAAATATTGTCATTCACTAGCAACACCTATCAGATATGGCTTCTTCAAGAATGAGAGTGTTTTTCTGAACTTACTCTAGTAGATCTAAATCCTTCCACATAAAATAGGGAGAGGAAACAACAGATTCACAGGGCAGATCACTCAGGTGCTATAGCAGTTGAAACTCAAAGGGAAACGAAGAGCAGATAATGGAAAAGAGCTCTAAAAGTGAGAAACTGGCACTCTCACCGGGTCTGAGAACCATCTGTTGGGTATGTTTGGCCTCTGTTGATCCACACAGACTACTTTCCTCATATCTTCAAAACTTGGGTCATTGGGAACCACATCGTAGAATGGTGGCTTGTAATCCTCCACTATACCTGCACACAAAGACAAGAATTGTGTTGAGTTAGCAAGAGAGTACAGTTTCCCCCAAGGTTTAATTGTGGGTGTCACAGGTTATAATGTGACAGAAGAAAATACTAATCACCTTCCTCATACCTCAGGGCACTCCTGGAAGCTACAAGTAGGTCCTAAAATAGGCGAAGAAAAAGGTAATAAATAGACACCCTGCAGGGTACTGGAAGAAGGATAATTGTTAGAAGAAAATACGTGAAAACTTCTCATGTAATCATAACCATTAGCAAAATTCTCCAACTGTGTATATTAATAGCTCTGAATTGCCCCACAGGGCACTAAAGACATAGGACAAAAATTCCTTCGGTGATCAAAAACACCCAAGCCACCTATCGAAAATACACGAATCTAGTGGTTCCAAACTATAAATAGAAATTAAAAGTGTCCACAAACTAGAGCTAGGAATAAATAAACTAAGAGCATCATCAAAATACCCTTTTTTTGTTATAAAATTATTTTGTTAAGAAAAAACATTGTTATAAATTAATCTCTTCCATTAGAAGGGATGCAAATAATATAACAAAAAATACTCATTTCCTCATTCATTCATTCTACATGTACTGAGTACCCTCTAACTGCCAGGCACAGCTGTCTGACTGATGGCTCTATTATTTACTCTCCTATTGAAGGCACAAAATAAAATGTAAAGAGGATAGCCATGTGGGAAGGCAGAGGAGAAGAAGGATAAATAATGAACTCTTCCTGTGCTCGAAAGCAAATATGAAAACTAGCTAATTTCAGCTTCTGCCCCTGCATAATTTCCAATGGCCTGAAACCTTTTCTTTTCCAGCAAAATTACATCAATTCCTTAAACAGAAAAATTTTTTAATTCATTATATGGAATTAGAAAATGGATTCTTCTCCTTCATAGAAATAAAACGAAGACATCTATTATTTCCTTTCCCTGAACAAAGGTTTCAAACAATGAGGTTATTAGGTAACTTGGTTTACTGCTCTCTTTCCTTCCTCCATGTGACTTTTTTCTATTCTTAAACACCTAAGAAGTTGTTGAGGACAGAAGGAGACAGCAATAAAAGTTGCAATTCAGTTGTTCTAGTTCCTACAAGCCACCTGAAAAGCTTCAATTCCCTTTTCATTTATTATAGAACTCGCTCAACAGTGGGAATCCATTCTCACAAATTCCATACAAATACAAACCATTTATACAAAAGATTAGATATGATAAGGAGCATCTGTTCAAGAAATACTATAGATCTTTTTAAAACTTCACAAATTTGACTAAATAAAGGTTTGTATTTGACATGGAAATCAGTCTAAATTATATTTTCATAGGCTGGGTGCAGTGGCTCATGCTGTAATCCCAAGCACTTTGGGAGGCCAAGGTGGGCAGATCACTTGAGGTTGGGAGTTTGAGACCAGCCTGAGCTACATGGCAAGACCCCCATCTCTACTAAAAATACAAAAATTAGCTGGGTGTGGTAGAGTATGCCTGTAGTCCCAGATACTCAGGAGGCTAAGGCATGAGATTCACTTGAACCCAGGAGGCAGATCTTGCAATGAGCCAAGATCGTACCACTGCACTCCAGCCTGGGAGACAGAGTAAGATTCTGTCTCCAAAAAAAATAGTTAATTCCAAGTAACTTACCCAACACTGTGTAACTGCATTTGTAATGCATATCAGTCAGTGAATTAAAACCTTTCCTGGCAAATCATAAAGAGATAATATTGGGTATAAACTGCTGCTCTCACAAGTCTTGGAACACCTCATCTTAGAGGCCCTTCTTCTCCTGTAAAAATCCCAGGAAGCATTCAAACAAAAATCTTTTAATTATTTTCAGTACTAACAGACACCACCTAAAATACAGCTGAACATGGACCTGAAGAGTTATTTTATACATTTTCTAGGGTCACAGGAATTTACAGAAAACAGTAAGACATGTGCCCTTTGCCATCTCTCAATTTTTCTGAAAGAGAATATATTTAACAGCCTGGCTTAATAATTAAAAATCTAGCCATCCGCTTGGAGTAATTTACCTGCTGAGCTTAGAAAGGGTTATGTGAATGTGAACAGTAATGCAACATTGAAGTTTTCTATAAATGCAAAAGAAAACAAAGCATGGCTGGATTTTTAAAACGTAAGATCTGGTGATACCAGTGAATTTCACTAGACAAAGCTGAAGTTTGCCCTTGTGTTTCCATTTCTCATGTTTTAATGTTACAAAATGCTTCCATGTTTTAACAAAAGGAGTCAAGTTTTTTTTAAAGACCATTTAATCGATTATACCTGGGATTTAGTCAAGTCTCTTTTACTTCAACCATTGGCCAACTGTTGATTGTTTTCACCTGATGCTGGCCATACTTCTCCAAAAATAAAATAAACCTGGGATTAAGGTCCAATAGTCACTTTCCTCTAATCAAGGAAAGCAATAAATCAGTTGCAAGTGCATTAATACTGTCATGGGATGCCATATTAAATGCTGAGCGTGACAAAAGTATAAGGCATGCTCTTGTTTTCCAAGGGAATCAAAATCTAGTGTAGGAGCAGGACAAGTGTCTTTTTCTCTTAGAAAATGGAAATCTTGTCAAAAAGAGCCTCAAAATCTTTTTTCACCCATTGACTTTATATCTTGAAAGGTAAAACTATATCAGAAATTCTCATTCTACTTTCACTTGTGAGATCCTCAGTTGACTCAATGACCATTTTGATTAAGTGTGTGTGCCCGAGACTGCTTGGTAGGAGGGATATAAAAAAATCAAAAAAGACGCAGTGTTGGGGATGAAGAGCAGAATAATGAGAAAAGTGGAAGACAAAAAGTAACAGACTCGTGTTAGAGGGAAGAGCACAGAGAAGAGGGTGGGAGGGACAGAGGGACCTGGCAGTGTTCAGAGGAGAAAACACCTCCATGGTATATCCCAAGTCCCCTATATAAACTGGGTGCTGTGGAAGCACAGGTAAGCTTTCCAGGAGGCAAGTGGGGCATGGGCAGAATAGAAAGATCAAGAGTTTGCAAGGCAGAAAAGATGACAGCGAAGAGAAACCCCCACTGAGTGGGAGCATTCCAGGCAGAGGGAGGCTATGGGGCCAGGACAAGAACTGACAAACCATCCTCTGATGCTGGACAGATAAAGAGAGGTTCTCTGGGGCTGAAATGGGTGCATGTGGTGGCAGAGAGCCAGCGGAGAAGAAGGGGACAGGCAGGAGGTGAGGCCAGGCTGCGAGGTGATGCACGTTGTCAAGTTAGGAAGTGACTGACTTACAACAGTGCCTCATTTATGCCAGAAAGAGACAATGGGGTAGTCAGGCAAAAAAGTGAACTCTAAGTCCTTTAGAGGCAGCACCCAAGAAGCAACTGCCAAATCGTGAGCCAGCAAAGAGCACAGCATGAATTCAGGCAAGTAACTAAAAATACAAAGCACTTCGAGTGCCAAATGAGCAGTACAAACAAAAAATGACACAGGAAGGCAGGGGGAGAGGCGCTCTTAAATGGTGGCCAGGGATGGAACAGACTGAGCCAGGCCTCGCCTCCCATGTAAGACAGCCAGCATGACTCAAAGGGCCATGAGAAAGAAATCAGAAACATTATTCATAACCTACTCCCCCACGACTTTTGGCAGGGGTGTCTGATTTATACAATAGTTTTTCCTGGGCATATGTCTATTTGAAAGTTTTCTCTTTTTTGGGGATAAGCCTATCTTCATCAACCAATATCCCTCCCATTAGTTTGCTATATGACTCTTAAGTCAACCCCTTAACTGCCAGGCCTTAGTTTTCTAATACCTTTACAGGACATACCACAAAGCTGACATGCAGATCAAATACGTCCTAGACATGCACTTGGAAAAGCATGAAATGCCAGTTGCCTCTCAAATGTCCAGAAAAAAGTCCTTCCTCAAGATCTTGCCCCAAGGTCCTAAACTAGACACCCACCTTCTTTCCGCTTGACAGCTGCAAGTGGGACCCACAGGTCTCTCTGCTTTAGGCCTCCCCTGCCAACCTCCACCCGATCCCACTACCCTCAGTGGGATCTGTAGGAGAAAGCTGAGAAAAGAGCTCACCATGCCCCTCCTCAGAATGTATTCCATCAGTGCTATTCATGGGAGCACACCCTTCCCCACTAAAGTCCAATCCCCACCACTGTCCTTCACACACCAAGACATCAGCCATATCAGAATTACGTGTAGTTCCATCAATAGGGCACCTTTATGGCATCCTTCAGCTCTGCCTTTTGTCTGGCACACCAATTTCTCATTCCCACCTGCAATTCACATCCTCCCAAGCTTGTCCAACTATGCTCTTACTTAACCCATGGACGACTCAAGTTCATGCTTCTCATTTTCTGAGAAGACTGTTCCATCCTGCTCCCACAACACAGGGGCCTAGACAAAGTTAGTGCCCTCACCCCCACACTCAGTCACCTTCCTATATACCTCAACTACAGTAACTTGATCCATTTATTTATCATAATTTGACTTTTCAACAAGAATGTGAGCACCTTTTAACTGGATTTTCTGGGGGTTGTTTTGCTCCAGTGCTTCCCCAGAGCCTAACACAATGCCTAGTGTGTCTTACAGACACTAAATACACAAATAAATGCTGATTACATATGTCCACAATCCTTTTTCAAAGTCTCAAGGTTAGATGCATTCGCCAAATTTAGAACTTTTCATATTTTATAAAGTTAATAAGAAGCATACCCTATATTTTATGTGACATCCCCAGCAAAATCTCAGGAGTACCCCCATGACCAAATATATATTTTCAGCAAAATATATGACTAGTCACACTAGATAGAATTAATAAACGTTATACACTGACTCGTGTCCATTCAGGTCACATTTGACTATCACATTATACACTGACTCCGTGTCCATTCAGGTCACATTTGACTATCACATGAGTTCAGGTTAGATGTTCTGTCAAATAAGTTATGAAAAAGCTTTTCGGTTTCAAAGTTTTGGGGACTTCTCAGTTGCAAATAAGAAACGGTGGACCTGGCTATGC